ATTTTTGTTCTCATTTTTTTATCCCCCAGCTGCATTTCAGATTAAAATCCGTTTACAGTGAATGGGACCTAGGAACTTTGTCTTGTCCAGTCTGAGTCCCACTTCCCGAAGGAGACCCAGGCCCATAGGGGTCCTCAGTCAAACAACTTTTCGAATGGGAGACTCAGATTCAGTGCTATGCAGATGCTCCCTGTAACCACGACACTATCCTCCCTCCACATGTGTGGGTCCCCAGGTCGGGTGTCTCCTGACTTCACAGATCTCTTCCCCACGTAGGATGTCACTGAGGAAAATTCCACCTAAGACATCAAGAGTGTTCTCAGCTCTCAACAGAGTAAAATAGCAGCTGACACTGTGTCATGTGATACACTTTTTAAAAGACTAAATTCAGACGAGTACATTTGAGGTTCTAATTGGCTTTATTCATGAGTCCCCAGAAACCCATGTAGCAACTACCAGGGTGCCCCAAAGGATTGTACACAAAGGATGGTTTTTATATGAAGAAGGGTGGGCAAGGGAGCTATTAACAAAAGAATGGATTATGTGTGAGCGGAGACATCTTTGGGGGAAGAGATTTTATCAGGCAGATTGCCTCTTCTTTCTACGGGGTGGGATGGAGAGGGTCCACAGACAACCTTTACTGGCATTGACCAGAAAACTCCAGAATGGTTGATGAAGATGGTGTCTGGGAGAGGCTGAGACTACAGTTAGATCAGGTATTAAATCTAGGTTTGGTTTCATGGGCTTTTAGCACGAGTGGCACCATTTAGGGCCTGTGGTTTTCCTCTTTAATGTGACTTACAAGAGAAGTCTATGGGGAAAGGTCACTGCAGTGCCATTTATATAAAGACTGAAACTGCCTCTGATCCTTCTTGAAAGTCCCTACTCTGGGCAGTGTGTAGAAAAGGCCCTTGATAGGGGCTTTCTGGATTTCTGAAGATTTAATGCATAAAAAATGGAATGAAAAAATAGACTGTAAAGCAACACTTTGTGGGAGACAGAGCTTGTCTTGTCAACACACGGAGAATGACCAGTGGGGCCGGTCTCAGCAGGACACAGAGCACACGGCTAAGGCAGCCTTGTCAACACCTGCCCTGACTCAAATTTTCTCTTTCGGCAGGAACAAAACCAAAGCTCCATCCCTGTTCCTCCTGCTCTGTGGCCTTCTCCAGTAAGAAACTCCTCAGCCAGCATGTGGGCCGCAGTCACCCCTCTCAGGTCCTTCCAGGAACATCAGCAATAAAACACCTAAAATCAGAGGAACACTGCCCAGATAATTTGAGTCAGCAGCAGCAAGGGACCAACCCACACAGCCGGAATGACAAAGCTGAAGATCAAGAGGTCAAAGAAAGGTGCAAACCTTTGGTGAAAGGGATCATGCAGAGGAGGATTCCAAGGGCTTTTCCCGAACCACCCAGTAAACAAATGGGCGGCTGCAGGGAGCGTGAGAGAATGATGGAGGGAGAGCCCAGCACAGGCCAGAAGGTGAACCCAGAGGACACAGTAAAACTATCTATGGGAGTAGGAATGTCAAAAACTGTAAGTGTCAAGCAAGGCGTTCTTGATCAGTCACATATCATTCAGCACCAGGGGACACCCTCAGGGGAAAAAACCTATGTTTGCGGGGACTGTGGGCGAGGCTTCAGTAGAAAGCCAAAGCTCATAAGACACCAGAGGACACACTCAGGGGAGAAACGTTATGTTTCCAGGGAGTGTGGGCGAGGCTTCAGTAGAAATTCAAAGCTCATAAGACACCAGAGGACACACTCAGGGGAGAAACCCTATCTTTGCAGGGAGTGTGGGCGAGGCTTCAGTGATAGGTCAAATCTCGCCAAACACAAGAAGACACATTCAGGGGAGAAGCCCTATGCTTGCAGGGAGTGTAGGCGAGGCTTCAGTCATAGGTCAAATCTCGCCAGACACAAGAGGACACATTCAGGGGAGAAGCCCTATGCTTGCAGGGACTGTGGGCGACACTTCAAACAAAAGTCACATCTCATCACACACCAGAGGACACACACAGGGGAGAAACCCTATATTTGCAGGGAGTGTGGGCGAGGCTTCAGTGATAACTCAACTCTCGTCAGACACAATTGGACACACTCAGGGGAGAAGCCCTATGTTTGCAGGGAGTGTGGGCGAGGCTTCAGTGATAAGTCAAGTTTCATAAGACACAAGAGGACACACTCAGGGGAGAAGCCCTATGTTTGCAGGGAGTGTGGGCGAGGCTTCAGTGATAAGTCAAGTCTCCTCAGACACCAGAGGACACACTCAGGGGACAAGCCCTATGTTTGCAGGGAGTGTGGGCAAGGCTTCAGTTTAAACGCAAGTCTTATCAAACACCAGAGGACACACTCAGGGGAGAAGCCCTATGTTGGTGGGGAGTGTGGG